GTATTGAGGATGTTTGCATTCACTTTCGTGGTTGATTTTATCGATTTCATTTGCAAAACCATGGCGACATTTCGAACAACAAAAAAAAAACAGAGTCTTACGTTCTTGCTGCTGTGTGCGCACAACGAACAATATAATTATCTTGTTCGCTGTTTGTCATTCTTACAAGCAGCTTGATCGTTTAAATGAATGCGACGGATTTTATTGTCAATAATTTTTTTTTGCTTCAAAATTTTAAAAATATTCCAAAGAAATTCAAATCAATTGGTGTTGTATTTTGTATTTTTTCGATTTTGTGAGTGGTATACTCGCACTGGGGTTATACTCACAATAATCAACGAAAATATATCAATAAGATAAAATGAGAACTTATCCGTCTTAAGTCGTCTTTATCTTCAAACAGATTCTGTTTATACACAGAGAACACAGAGAAGCCTTTGCGCTATTCATCTCTGTGTATGTATAATGTAAATACAAGCAGAGTCGTGCGTTTGCATTGTAGCGTGCACGCAACGAAATAAGACTTATTTCTAAGTATTATAAATAAATATCTTACTATAAATAAGTCGCGGTAGTCCCTGCATGAAAATATATTTTTTTCCGAACATGAACTGCTCAGTTCGGTTCAGTGGGACAGTCTGTGCACGATCACATTCATCTACCTATCAAACTCGTGTTTGACTTGGTCATTCTCTCTAACACATACATTTGAATCCTTCCTGATACTCCGAATTGATCTCAAATGTTCTATAATCTACACAGATGCAAATATGTTGCGTTTTCTGTTTAAGTATTTCCTAGGTTGCTTACATTTAGTAGTATACACATTACACGTTCTAATAAAGCGCGAACTTTCGGTCATATGCATTTCGAGTGATCCTTCATCCTGATAAACAATTGAAAATGTATTTTTATCGCTGTGAATCATTCCTGACTGATTGGATTTAATTCTACTTGTGCTTGTGATGTACCACATCGAAGTCGAAATGCATTCAATGTGCTATGCGGTGCTCTATTGGGCGATTAATAGTTATCTCTCACCCTGTGGCAAATATTCGTATGTTATTTCACGCATCATCGAAATATGTGCCATGCCTCATTTATCGATCTCTATGACGCATTCGACATTAGGAGTACGAGACTTAAGTTACCTAATATATTTGTCATTTGGGTCTAAACTCATGGTCAGAGAACATATGAATGAAAATTGCATCGAACTGTATTGGATTCGTTAAAAAGATACAAATTAAGAGCTTTACCCCAGGAAATATGTTGACGAAATGATATTTTAAAGCAGATTTCATTATACTAGGGGGTAACCACGCTTTTTTATCCACCAACATTTAACTTTATTCTTAAAATCTGATTAAAACTCAAATATCTCAAAGTATTCAATTCTGGAAGTTGGTTTTGGTAGTTCTGGAAGAGGACTCTCAGGATGGGCCAGGGCATTGTCAAACCATAGTCTGGTCCATCCTGAGGATCCACTAAAACCCACTTCCAGAACTGGGAGCGGTTCTGATGATCCTAAAGATCCACCAAAGCCCATATCCAGAATTATTTTTAGATCAGACTATCTGACAATATCTCCCAAAAATGTAAATTTGCGTTCATATCTCTCGATAGCTCTTGAATTCGTTGAAATCTCATTTCTATATTTTCATATTTCTATATATTTAAAAGCGCGGCTACCCCCCAGTTGTTATATGAACGTTGATCACTGTTCTATTGAAGGTTGTTGTTGACTTAACATTATTTGCTTATGTTTCAATCTATCCCATGGTATGGTAAATAAATATGACAAAAAAACAATAAAACAGCAGCAACTTCTGTTGACTGTAAAGGATTTATTTTATTTTGTTCAATTAATACGGATGGAAAATATTGAAATAAAGAGATATGAATTATGTTTGCCGGTTTTTACATGAAGTATAATTGTTTGGTGTTTTCTGACTTAATTAAATATTAAATTAAAAAAAAAGTTTCCGATCAAGTTGGATGTGAGTAATTAAATGCATATTTTATGCTGCATCAATATAATTTTGTTTCTGGATTCGCATAAAATAATTTCAGTTTTCTACCATTAGAATCGCAATCATTTCTTTAAACCGTGTACCTTTTCCATGTGACAATTAGCGTGACCAAGTAGTGAAAAACGACTGCCACATAGTTTGCATGGAAATGGCTTTTCGCCGGTGTGGTAATTCCGCATATGGCGTTTTAAATCTGATGATTGGTGCTTTAAAACCTTGCACAAATAACACTGATAAACGCGTCGCTTGCACCCTTTTTCGTGAGCATTTTTGTCGTTTTCTTTTGCAAATGGCATCAGGCATTTGGGGCAATGGACCGGTTTTTGTTTGGAGTGTGTTGCGAAATGTCGCTTGAGTTTAGCATTTTCAACGAATTTCTTTCCGCAAACACCACATTTGAATAGTTTCTCGCCAGTGTGATGGACTTGCATGTGCGGCTTTAAATTGGTTTTGTAAAAACATTTGTATGGGCAAAGATAACAATCGTATCGCCGGCCTTTGCAATAATCCTCATGCGATTGTTTCTTGTTTTCATCAGCAAATCGTCGACCACATTGTGCGCAATTAAATGGAAGTTGTTTAATGTGAGTTCGTGAATGATCGGTGAGATGTGCTTTGAGTGTAAATTTTTTTATACAAATACGGCATCTGAATGGCCTCTCGCCACTGTGGATTCGCATGTGCCGCTTGAGATCTGACAATTGACGAGTGGTTTTCTTGCATAGATGGCAGGCATATTGTAGATGTTCACATTCGCTTTCGTGGTTGATTTTATCGATTTCATTTGCAAAACTATGGCGACACTTCGAACAACAAAATGGAAATTCTGCCGCATGAGTTTTCTTATGAAGATTCAAAACATCCTTGCGATTAAAAGCCCTGGCACATATTTCACATACGAACGGCTTTTCACCAGTATGGGTACGAATGTGCCTTTTAAGAAACTGTTTTTGCGGTGCCATATATCTGCACAAATGACATTTGTGCATCTTTCGTTCCTTTGATGTTTGTTTCTTCAATACCGTTCCCTTTGTTCTCTTCATCGTTGCTTTTTTCTTCATTTTATTTACACGACCTTTGTTTGATTCATTCTTTCTATTCGAATTAGCACTTGCGTTGTTTGGACGCTCACCATCATCACGATCATTGTGTGGCATTCCACTTGAGCATCCGCCTCCCGATGTGTCGCATTCTTTCTTCAAGCACTCATCTTCTTTTTTGACCTCCTTCTTCACCCAAACAGGAGTGCTCACCGAGCATAGTTCGTCATCACTCCCACTTTCTGATTTGACAATGATATTCGCTGCGACTGGTGATGGTGGTGGCGAGTAATGAACCATTTCAGTGTTTTCCGTTGGCTCAGTTTTGATTTCCTCTTTAATTTTGATCTTTGACCCATTCAACTTTTGCCTGCGTTTGCGCAACGCCTTTCCATTTGAATTCCCCTTACTTCGGTATGGATTCATGGTGACATCGTCTGTTCAATAAACAATTAACGAGAAATAGATATATTTAACAAAATCAAATGATGGAATCAATAGATTGAAGATAATAAAAAAGTCTATGCATATAAAATTCAAATCAATTGAGTAAATAACGCACTCATTCACGAATTGTTCCAATCAATTTATTACACATACACACACACGCAAAGTAGGATGAACCAACAGGATCATTTAAATGTCAAAGTGTAATGCAAGTAGTAAGTAGAATGACGTCATCGAATTTTCGAAACCAAAAAACTAATGAGTAACTTGACAATCAAAAGCAGGGACCGGGTCGCGTATGATTTCATACTGGCATAAAAAACGCAGGCAGTATAAATATACAAAGTATAAGCGCAGATGCAACATATCCATCGCTGTTCGCTATGTATGAAGCATGCGAATACATGTTCGTGTGTGTATGTGACCGTGTATTGAGAGACGCACGCACATACATTGTATTTAATGAGCGCATCACAAAGCGAACAGCGACGGATATGTTGCGTCTGCGTTTATACAAAGTATAAATATCTTGTATAATTCTAAATGTGACCCGGTCACTGATCAAAAGTAGCAGCGAATTAATAAACAAAGGGTTATCGAATCTAATAACAGAAATGCATGCAAACTAAGCAAAGAATTCAGAATTTAATGAATTGTACTGCGTGGAACCCAAATGACGAGAACTATATTCTTATGTATAAACTCACTGTACCAATTCACGTGTTTCGATTTTCCCAACAAAAAACTTGTTATTATGCTATTTTTACTAAATTCAATGCACTCTTTACATCTATTCGATGCAATAAAACTGAAAATAGATTCTATGGCTTACCTATTCAATTTGTGTGCGCCAATTTATGCAGATCGATAAAAATATGCTTCTTCTTCTGAATACCGTATATCTGTGTGTAGTCTCCCGTTGGTGTACGTGATGAGTTGGCACAATTCACTGACTCCATGATAGATGCTTGGCGCGAAAGTAGCGCTTGTGTCAAACATTTTTCGATCAGAATGAAGTTGGGTGCATACAAATCAACTGATGAATCGAATCTAATTTAAATTAATGAAATATCCGTTAATTTTGAAGAAAATTAAAATTGAATTTATTTTAAGTTGTTGCAATTGTTAATATGAGGAAATGATTGTTTTCTAGATGAGTCCGAAGAGAGCGATTCATTCAATTTCATTTAGATTGTTGAAGTGAATGTTTCATTAATGATTGTTGAAGTGAAGTAGAAGGTCGTCTGTTGCAAAGATAGAATCTACAGCTACGTATTGAGCTAGAGCAACGATTATTTTAGCGTGAATATGAATAAGCTATTTTATGTTCTGATATTGAAATGATTTCGTTTGGCCTTTAGTTTCAATGAGTTGTGAAGTAGTAACTTGTGAATAATAAATATGATAAAAATAAAAAAAATGGCAATAAATAAAAACTCTTCGGCTTTGTTTTCTTCATTAATATAGATTTATTTATTTTGTTCAATTTATGAGTACCTTCGGTACATAAAAAAGATCTTAAATGAATTTTATATGTCGAATTTCGCAATCAAATATAATTTCCTTTAGTTTTCTAATTGTTCGATGTCAAAAGCTATTCTCTAACTTATTTCAAGCTAAAATTCAAGATCAAAATTAAGATTAAGTTGAATGTGGTTTGTTTTTAATTGAATTGTTGTTTTACTACAGAATTATAAATTGTGAATGAATTGATTTCAAAAAAGAAGTTAAATAATATAGTATCGCAATCATTTCATTAAGGCGTGAACTTTTTTCATGTGTCCATTTACGTCACCACGTAGTGAAAAGCGTGCCTCGCAGAATGTACACAGGAATGGCTTTTCGCCGGTGTGGTAATTTCGCATGTGTAGTTTTAATTGTGTTGAATGATGCTTTAAATCTTTGCACAAATAACACTGAAAAACGCGTCGCTTGCAGCGTTTTTCGTGAATATTCTTGTCGTTTTCTTTTGCAAATGGTTTAAGGCACTTGGAGCAATGGACCGGTTTTTGTTTGGAGTGTGTTGCCAAATGTCTCTTGAGATCACCTTTTTGAAGACATTTCTTTCCGCAAACAATACATTTGAATGGTTTCTCGCCAGTGTGATGCACTTGCATGTGCAGCTTCAATTGACATTTTTGAAAGCGTTTGTATGGGCAAAGATAACAATCGTATCGCCGGCGAACGCAATGATCCTCATGCGATTGTTTCTTGTTTTTATCGGCAAATCTTCGGCCACATTGTGCGCAATTAAATGGAAGTTGTTTAATGTGAGTTCGTGAATGATCGGTGAGATGTGCTTTGAGTGTAAATTTTTTGATACAAATACGGCATCTGAATGGCCTCTCGCCACTGTGGATTCGGATGTGTTGCTTGAGAT